CACGTCTTCCCCATCAGCTGGCCACTCTGATTTTACTTTCCCATACACGCAACCCATGCGGCGTTGGCTACAAGTGACTTGGTGGGAGACAAAGGCTTCTCCCTCTTGCACCCTCCATAATCCTCTTCTTCTCTTTTGCAACGCAAACCCTAAAATTCTCCCTAGCTGTCGGTCGCAGTTGAACCCAAAAACGGAGGAAGATGGGATCGCTTTAGAATAAGAGGAGCATTTGTGGACTCTCGCTGCAGAGCACGCCGATAGCAGCGAAGAGCCTTAGCCATGGGGAGGAAAAACAAAAGCAGACGGTGGTGGTGATGGAGCAGCAGGAGGATGAGGTGGGAGTTGGTGGAAGTGCCGATGTTCAATTTGGAAGAGAGACGAAGCTCGGCGGCGGCCTAGGAGGAGCGAAAGACAGGAAATCAAAAGAAACGCCAACGAGAGGTGTGCAGTTTCAGTTTGATTACCGCTCAAGTTGGAAGGGGCACGAATCCCTGCCAGGGAAAAAGTCGGACAACGGTGGTGAGTTTTTTTTTAACTTTTGCAGTCTCCGGTGGATCTTCCTCCTACCACAACCCCAACCCCAACAAAATGAAACTGCTTGCCTTTCTCACGTTATTATTAGTATTTTTTATTGAAACTGCTCACTTTTATTGGTTTTCCCTATTTTTAGTACCATATTATGGTTTCGTGAGTCAAAGGAGTGGAGACCAGCGACTGCAAGTGCAGAGAAGAAGAAAAAGACAAACACGAATGGAAGTTGAGTTGAGGAGTTGTTTCATAGCCAAAACGCTCCCACTTTCCTCTCCTTCTCCATTCAAGCAATCCACCGTAGCGACATCGGAGTCATGTATGCTCTCTTTTTCTCGCGATCGACAGTATATTGTATTGATTTCATTCTGTCAGCCAAAGTTTTTTACTTAACCGTTCTATTTCAGGGAACCTGTGAGGTTGGACCATCGTTGTCGGTAGAGAGTTCACTGGATTGTGGTTGAGCCAAGCCTAGCTGGAACTTCGTGCCTTTGTTGTCGGAGGTAGATTCGCTCTTTCCATGCTTACAATTTGTGTTTTTGATTGGATCATGCTGAGGCGTTTGAGGTGTTCTGTGATGCAATTGGGTAGTGGCGTACAATTGGGAAGTAGGATCATCAAGTTAATACTAATCATTAATCAAAGCTATCATTTTGCTATTTTGCTTATATAGCTGTGTTTGACAGTCTAGCTAGCTTTTCTCTCATTCATTAGTCAACATTACAATGTTTAGTGGCTTCCCATTTCATGGTCAACCATCGCACTTCCTACCACTCCCAGCCCCACCATGTTGTTTCACATTCCCATTTGCCCTCCCGACCCCATCATCACTTTCCTCTCCTGCATTGCTATGACACCTTAGGTTGACCCTGTTGTTGTTTGTTAATCATTAGACCAACGAAGTGCATGTTGTTGGAGTTTTTGCCCATAAGTTCATTCAAATGGGAGAGTGGGTTTGATGGAAGCGCTATTTGTCCTACCTGTTGTTGATGTTTAAGGTTTGAATTGAACTTTCCAGCTCTCTACCTCTGTACATATGTGTTTCTCCCATTTAATAACCTGCTCAATGTAGGTCAAACGAGCTTTAGGATTCTTTGTGTCATTTGTCACTCAAAGGTGTCTCCTGCACTGCTTAAAGATGAATTATGAGTCTTAAGAGTTAATGAATTTTTGTTATCTATTGTCTAATTTACACACTAGCTAGAGCATAAGAACTTTTGTTCTGGTTGAAAATGGATCCTTCTTGAACTTTGTAAAATCATGCAATGTGCTAATGAGATGGGAAGACGCTAGATAACATACACACATGTTTCTAAAGATGCCAATCCCAAAGGAGAGCTTCATTCCCATCCTTTTTCTTTTTTTCATTAACTGACTGTTGCATAGGTGTAGATAGTTGCAAGTTGTTATTAATGCCCTATGTATTACAGTTTATTTAGCCACAATCACTTAGTCGTTCAATTTTTCTGTCCGCCTCTTTCAGGTCAAAGATATGATGGATCTTCTTCTATTTCAGTGCTGATGCACTTTCTTTCTGCTGCTAGTGTAATTATACTTTTGCTGCTGTGCTTCCTTTCCCTGCTATAATACTATTATTGATATGCTGTAATTCTGTCCGCCTCTCAAGGTTTCTTTTGCATTTTCATTTCACAGTATGTACTCAAATCGATATTTAGGTCTCTGTTTTAGGGTTTGCAGATGGCTGTTGTGATTGACTACCACAAACCGCAGGGGAAAATATCTTACGAAGTTCATCAAGTGAGTATACTTCTACTCAATCACTTCGGTAAAAACACTGTTGGAGTTTAGATGATGAACAAGTATACTTGCTTAAGCTCTTATCCTATTCTTTATAGGACCTCTAATGAAAGAAAAAGGTTGTTTCCATGTTGATCAGCGAAGGGAGCTGAAAATATCAGGTTAATATACTTTCCCCCAGTCACTAAGGGAAGTCAACGTCACCAAACGTAAGGCAGTGGATAAAAGTTGAAGTTTCGCCCTTTCAAATATTGGCGACCAATTTCCCGTACCCTTTACAAAAAAAATCAATATCGGTGCTCAATCCTCTTTCCTTGTATCTCAGAATAAATAATCAGGAGCTTGACTCATGCGTTTGGGATTGGTTTTTAGCATTAACTTTGAGGGGGTTTTTGGTTTTTTTTCCCTATGGGATATTGGAATGGGAAACTGTGGCAGAGACTTCCGGTGGCACTTCACCTGCATCATGGTGATGAAATTTCCTTTTTATTTGTACTATGCCACACTTTGGTCTGATTTGTGTTCATGTTTCTCAGTATTCATTAGTGGATGCAGAACTGACCACCAAAAAGTATTCTCGAACACGTAAGACCAAACTGGAGATGATAATAATGGATCGTCGCTATCTATAGCCTCTGCGGGTCTTGAAGATAGTGGACTATATCAATCCTGTTATGTTACTGATAGAAGGCATTCAGGTTATCATTGTGGTAGAGTTTGATGGGATTGGATAGAAGCTGCGAGTATGTATGTCGTTTTGTTGATGGAATTTTTTTTTTTCATTTCTAGGGTAATACTGGATCCCAATTAACAACTTTTTCATAGCAGCAGGCAACAACTTGGAGAAGAACCCGGTTGCCTTACTTGGCCTTAAGTCTATTATTACAAAGACGCCAGCAAGAAATAACAGATAACTCACTCACTCGAAGCTGTATATTGCAACCAAAGCAGTCAAAATCGGGATTTTACCTAAAATCGAAAACTGGGGTAAAATCGGAATCGTAAAATCGAATCGTAAAATCGTAGGATTTTAAGTACCACATAGAAATTAACATATAATAATATTAATAAGGTAAATCATTAATAACACAAAGACATATAACAATTAAAGTGATAATTTTCAAGATTAATGTTCCAAAATCATCTTTTAATTGTTATTTAATTTGCAACTCTAAGTAATTTATGAGGAAGGGATAGAGCTCATGGGGTTTGCTCTTGTTTTTAATGTTGTGTTTATGTAGTTGAACTCAAAGTAGTATTCTGCCATCGTCCATTAAGCATGATTTAAAACTAAGAATAAGTGTACTCCAATAAGAATTTTAATGTCATTGGTTTGGTACAAATATATTCATTAATCAATTAATTTGTTAATGATGATGTTAATTCTTTTGTACTTACAATATTATGACAACTATTTTACCGATTAGTTAAACAAGGAGAAGGGAAAGGGATTGATCGAACTCTAATTAGGGGTTTTTCCCCTTTTCAAATGTTCTTTTAATAGGAAAAATATATGAGAAGATAGCCGTCATTGCCCTTTCCACCGAAACAGTTCCGCTTCTTTTGAATTGTCCCAAACTGCCTATTTTGTTCAGATAGGATCAAAATCCCGATTTTGGTACGATTTTACGATTTTAACGATTTTAATCCCGATTTTGAACGATTTTAAGGTCCACCGATTTTATAGTAAAATCAGGATCGGAATCCCTAAGTAAAATCCTATAATCCTACGATTTTACGATCAAAATCCCGATTTTGACTGCATTGATTGCAACTACTGTTTGGCTAGCTTTTGTTTGAGCTATTCTTTTGCTTTTACCTGGTGGCTCTTTTGAAGTAATGATGCTTGCTCATGTTGATGCAGATATATGTTTTTTCTGCAAAGTTAGTTGTAGTCTTCCGTATACAGGTTCTTTCTGCAAATTTGCTAACTCTTAGATATTTCTGTTTTCCTCTATGCTCTGCTTAATTCAGCTTAAGTTTTTGACATAGATGTTCTTATAATTTCATTTGGTTTATGTGTGGGATGTAGTCATTGATGTTGCAAGAATTACTGGTATGTGTTGCAGCCAATTATGTTCAGGTTAAGTATTTGGTTGTTAGCAAGTTAGCACAAAAGAAATGCTGCCAAGGGCTCAAAATCATGAGATACAAACATACTGCTTGCTTTCACACATGTTTAGAAAGTTGTCTTTATTGTCAGAAACCTTCTCTTCCAAATTTTTTTCCTTAGGCGCTGCTGCACTTTTTTGCCTGCTGCTGTAATGCTGTTTCTGCAACGTTTTTATGTTGCTGGTGTATTCTAACATTTTCGCTGCGTGCTTATTGATTTGAGTGTCTGTGAATCTCGGTAGGATGCAAGTGCAGTGGTTGATATGAAGAGTAATCTCTTGGCGAATTAATGGGAGGCTGCAATGACTTAAGATGAGGTCATCAGTCATCACCATATGCGATATTACCTTTGCCATCGAGACCCAGTAGAACCCTCTTGTCCTTTTGTGATGTCAAGATCATCTTATGTTGTTGGGACTCTATTTCCATAACATATTTTGCTTCAATATGTGTTTGTTGACCATGCATATGTTTTGTAATTTCACTTTCCGTATCTGGACCTCACGTTGCTTAGAAAATGATCTGTTTCGTGCCTCCGCCCTCGCTTCTATCATCCCATTCTATCGTTATAGTTTTGCTGCTTACAAATTAATCACCCCACCCCCAACCTTATTTAGTTATTGGCAAACAGATACGTGAACAGAATGTCAGAGAATATTAAACTGAAAGGGGACTATAGAACTCAACAAAAAATCGGGTCATCGCCAAGAATACAAGATACAACGATCCCAGTTTGCCATCAGCCATTACCTAAACTGCCCATCAAAGGATCATGTTGTTGCAAACTTTGGTTACGCCGCAGGTATTAATTCTAGTATCTTTGAAAACTAAGCACAAAAATCATTGAAACTGAACTAGTTCAATCGTCAACTTAAGCAAGACCCAGAAGTCAAAAACGAACAATCACCAGTAGGAATCACATAAGTCCCCCATTTTCAAACAAATTTGTATCCGCTGATCCCAACAAGCACTAACTTTCCGGTTCAAACTCACTCAATTTGAGGTATGCTTCACCACCCACCATCAGAAAACCAGTACAAGGAAATATAACCAGAGACTAACTGATGAATCAATAGCTCGAAGAGAAGACGACCTGAGCAAAAGAGTACATGAGGCTGGTGCTGAGAGACCTCGGAGATGACCATGCATGGATGACCTCCACCGCCTTTCCTCCACTACCCATTTCGGCAACGATCGGTCGAATTCCTTCCTTTCGGAATCTTGATGAACACAGTCAATAACCAATAGTAACCTGGCGAAGGTGAACGAAGATTTTAGAATTAGATTCAGACTAAAAATTAAACAGCAAACATCTTGCTTTGTCTAATCTTTTTGGTTTGCTGTGGCATGGGACGGAATCTTTTCAAAAATGTTCTGCTAAAAGTAAAAACAAAAACGCCCGGGTCTCTGCCATAATCTCATTGGCCCGCGTGATTTTGGCTAATTAATTAATGTATCTATGGGGAAAGTGAAAATGCATGGAAAGAAAGGCTTTCGAGTCACGGAAAAATGAGGTAACAGAAGAATGAAATCACTCGAGAACTTTCACATGAACATGGAGACAAACTGCTATTTGGAAAGTAAGGAACTCAACGTTCCGGTATTTTCAACAATTGGAAGTTACAGTAAATAAGCGGATACAAGAAGGATTGTAAGAGCTCATATAAGGAAGCAACTTCAATGGCCTCGCTGTATCGGTTATGTCTCTGATTGTAAGATCAGCATGCTCTGCTAGGTCTAGGAAACAATTGAAGGTATCGATGTTTCGTATCACACAAGCAATGTAACCAACAGGGGTTTTCGTTGACTCAACATATGCTTGTTCATCATTCTCAGCTTCTTCAGCTCTGCCTTCATTGACAATGTCCTCCTGGCAGTTGCTGGTCCTTGTCTGAGTAGTTACTTGCCTTTGCTTCAATAAGGTTGCAAGTACTCTAACAAGATGAGGAAGACATGCTGGGTCGTAGATTACATCAGCGCCTAAACTGTAGAATGATGCATTAAGAGAATGGTCGTCATTTCTGGAGCAGAAAATGTTGAAGTGCATTTCCAGGACAGATAAGATTACTCACACTATGTCAGGCATGAACTCCTGAAGTTCGGCTTCAGCAGCAGATTCCCAAGACAGGTGAATGCATTGCACCTCAGAATTACTCCCAATGTCAGATTTTACCTGCTTTGGGATCAGTGAATATCATTCATTTTATTGCCCGCAAAATACTAGGACTAAGGCAAGGTTTACAGAAACGCAGATAATGGACTACCAATTGAAGATAAAACTGAAACTACTACCCAAGATCATAACTTGGAGTGCAAAGAATCTACTATATGAACATAACTTATCATTAGAGAAAAAACACACCAGATTTAGTTCCTTGTCAGATTTCTCTAGCACATCCATTCTGGTGCTTATATGGTTCAATCCCAAATTAAGCTTCATATTAGCAAAAGTTGACAGATCGCCATCAGATAATACAACCTGCGGCGAGTGGAAACTAGAGCAGTTATGGAAGACATCAGAAAAATTTAACTCGAATACTGTTGACTCCAATGTTCTATGACCATAAGATAAAAAATGAACAGAATAGCACTCATGCCTGAGAAGCAAAAGAGACATGATAAAGCTAATAAACCCAAGAGAGCCTATAATGAGAGATATTCTGATACTTGGTTCTCATATCAGTTACCTTAGAAGCTTTGACATGAGAAAGACAAATTCCAACCAAGCCAACGCCAGAACCAACCTGATTTGACATTCAGGTAGTCATCAGTGAAACCAGTTCAAGGAAACAACTAAAAAAAGAAAGGCTAGGCTAAGAGCAACATGAGTAGAATTACAGCCAGCTATAGACACATCCTAACTTTGTTAAACAACAACCTTGACACAAATAAGAGAAGATATATATTCCTTTACATGTGCACTACCTCAAAGCAGGTTTTATTGGAGAATCTATCTGGGAAAGAAAGTATAAACTCGGACAAATACAGACTTGAAGGCCAAACCGAACACCTGTAGCAATTAAATGATAGTGACAGTAAATGGCTAGTGGTATCAAAAACAAATGAGAGGGAGTGTGAAATGAACGAGTGAAAGAGAACTTCCATATGCTTCACCCTGCATTAAAGGCTGGACTATCCGTTGAACACAAAAGTACATTGAACTTATATGAAGTTTACCATTATCAGATTGAATCCATTGGGGGAAAAAAGGGTTCAATCAATATTTGTTCCCGGGAGTCCCGAAAGCAAGCATGACGTCATTACGAAGATGAAGTCCCAAAAGTATGGAATCTCAGAAAGAGGCTGGTCAAACTTAAATGCAACTAGACTACAACAGATATTATAGAAACACGGAGCTGCATTTGTAAACAAAGATAAAACAATTAAAAAACTGCTTACCCGGTGTCTCCTTCAAGCATGTTAAGTGAGCAATTGAGTGGAACGACAAATTTTCTCGATTTGGGACAATTTGAAAGTTCAAGAGAACCTATCCACAAGACACACACAAACCATCACACTAGACATTGAGGCAGAGCAGTAATTATAAAGTTCCACTTTCCAGGACCTAACTCTTACCATCTGTGAAAAGAAAGGAAATGTGTTTGCAGGCTTTTCCTCTGCCTAAACTGTCCTCCTATAACACAAATGATATACTAATCAGTATAGAAGTTCTCCTTTCGTACATTAGAGAGGATGACTCAATCAAGAACGAATGCCGATTCCTAAGAAACCCATCCAAGGATTACCTTCAACGACGTCATGTAATAACCATAATTTTCGTATAATTCATCCAACACACACCCGTGAGTTGACTCTACTTCAAAAATAAGCTTCTTCACAAAATTCCTCACATAAGGTGCATAACCTATGGCAGCCTGCACTAAAGCAAAAACAACAAAAAAAAAAGTGAACCAAGCATTACAGCAGACATAAAATTCGCAAAGCCGAAACCAAATTTGCACCTTCCATACTAAAAGGGTTCAATCAGGAGAAGAAAGAAAGGGCTTCAATTCAATCAATAGTCACTCTACTCACAGCTTGGTTTATGCACTGCTCCCATATAAACCTCTGGACATTCTCGGAAACAATCCCTCCGCCGCACGCCCTTGACATATCAACACAAACAAGAAACACTAGCAACTCGTCAGCCGCCATACTAGTTGCTAAAGCTGAGCTATCGCATTAGGGTTAGACATGGCATTACCTTGCAATGGAGATTAACGAGTCGGAAGGCTCCATGGCGAGGAAGGCGGAGACCAAGTGAAGCCCTGGAGGGAAGTTGGGGTCAAGCTCTTCTGAGTTCGCCATAGCTGTTAGCTGCTCCGGTGCTTCGCCAACAATGTAACCCGTGTTCTGGAAATCACAATAATGTGGAATTGATTGTGGATGCAGTGAAATCGATATTGCACCTGCCGATTCCAAAATTGTGTTTGTTTTGGAGGAAAACGTGGAGAGAAATCCCGAATTCTTCTGCATCCGCCGCTAGCTTGCTGCGACATGTCGTTTCGCTTGGTTCAAAAAATGAGAACTAGTAGTGACGAGTGGTAAGCTGACACGTGTCCAATCAGCCCGGACCTAAAATCAAAATGCTGGCTTCTTCAGAATCAAGAGTCAGAGTCGATTGCTATTCATTTTTCACGCTGCTTCTCCTGTCATTCCCATTTCCCGCCAACTGAAGGAAAAGGCTCACAAGCATTGTGAGGTTGGCTCTCGTTTCTCTCGTCTTGTTCGCCGTTTTCTCTACTTCATCCCGCAACTTGACTTCTGAGAAGATCGCTTTTGCTTTTTCAGTCGCCTTCCACGAGCTGCAGCCTCGATTTCGATTCAAATTTCCATTCCAAGCACCAAGAAGACATGAATCAGGTAAATGACCAAACCTTTTCAAACTGAGTTTAGTTGTAGGTTTCAAATTCTCCAGTCGTAGATCTCGAAGTTAAGGAAGAAATTCCGCTCCAATCTGTTTGAAATGCGTTACTAGACAGTTGATTCGTATAGTTCAGTGATTGTTCCTCTTCTCCTCTTTCTGGCTCAAATGATCAGGACATCGAAGCGTCTCCTTCGCCGAAGAAGCAGATCTCCAATGTAACTGTCTGCTCTCGCTTCAGGCCATTGAGTTCAAAAGAGAGGAAGGATCACGGTGGCCGAGTTTGCGTGTGCCGTATCGACGACGAAACTTTCGTCTTCAAGGTAGGTATTAATCTGATACTCACCTCCCTTGCTCCGATTGCTATGCTGATTTCAGTTTCTCCGGTGTTAATTAGGATGAGAAAGAAGAAGAGTCTACTTTCAGCTTCGATAAGGTTTTCTATGAGGATTCTCTGCAAGCTGATGTCTATGAATTCCTAGCCCTGCCTATCGTTCGTGGTATAGAGATCGCCGCAAACTGTTTGATTAGTTTTCTTCTTTCGTTTTCTCAAACATCTGGTCAAATTTTTGTTCTGATTCTGAAGCTCTTCCTCTATTCAGATGCTGTCAATGGAGTGAACGGCACGATAATCACTTATGGACAGGTGAGTTTAGGTCAAATTGGAGTCAAATCCGTGTTTAGAATTCATATTTGATTTTCGATTTGCGGCTTAGACTTATACTTCAGACCTTTTCATTTTTTCCTGAATCATCACTGTCATCTTTCTTCAAGCAGACGGGAGCTGGGAAGACGTATAGCATGGAGGTAACATACATTTTGTTTCCTCAGAGTTTCAATGTATCTTGTGATCGGCAGTTTGCTGTTTTGCTTATTTGATAACTCTTCCATGGTACTGGGATCAGGGACCAAATGTTCTAGAATCAGATGATATGAAGAAAGGGCTGCTTCCAAGAGTAGTAGATGGATTATTTGAGCATATAGCGTCTGCTGGTGATTCAATCAAGTACAAGATCAAGCTATCCATGGTAAAAACAACTACTGTTGCTAATAGAATTCGTTTGACAGCTTCAACAAACTGGGACTAACAAGCTTCTCATGCTATCTTCTGATTCTTAAAGGTTGAAATCTACATGGAGAAAGTCAGGTATAAGTTCTTCATTTCTGCACTAACCTAGTTTAGAACTGAGGATGTTTATGCGAGCAATGAAATTTCGGTGCTTCGTTTCCTTAGGGATCTCTTTGACTTGTCTAAAGATAATTTAGTGATCAAGCAGAGTAAAGATCATGAGATGCTGGTTTCTGGAGTGACAGAGGCAAGTGAACTTCTGCCTCTACTCTCTTTATCAGGAAAGTTAGTTCATTTGTTTTCTGCGTGGTACTGGTACGAAACAACAGGTTTACTTTGGCCAATACCAAACGAGGGCAGGATGATTAATTTAGTTCGTAGATATTAAGTCCATGATGACCCGAAGTTTTAGATTTCTCAAGCAGACTTTTCATTGAATAAATCAAATGGTGAATTCCATTCATCTGTAGACAAGCTATCATTAGTTTAGAAATCGAATATGCTCGTTGTCAGTCTCGACCATACTGTCAGTTTACTAACAAGCGTTTTACTTGGCCAGATTCACTTGGCAGACACAGTAGAAGCTTTGCAAAACCTACATGTAAGATAGTCTCCTTTGAAAACGTATTTTTCAAATGCATATTCCTCGTTCTCATGTTAAGACTGAACTTGCAGGCTGGAATACAAAATAGAGCTGTTGGGGAAACCCGTATCCACATAATCATGCTTTTAAATTTCATTGAACTTATAGCACCTAGCAATGGATAGTCTTCACAAACTAGCTGCTCTATTCATCTGTGTGGAGTAGACGTTCAGTTCTTGACAGTAAAAAGAAATGAATCTGGCCAGCAGCCGAAGCCACTGTGCCTACATATTCACAGTCCAGCCATATTCGACCAGAGATAGGTCTTTGTCTGTTTCTATCTTCTGTTCTTTATCTTCTATCATAATTACATTGAGAAATTACTCTGAAATCTTGAACATCATGGCAGGCGAAAAACAGGGAAATTGGTGCTTGTTGACTTGGCAGGATCTGAGAAAGTGGAGAAAACTGGAGCTGAAGGGAAACTTCTTGATGAAGCTAAGACCATAAACAAATCCCTATCAGCTCTAGGGAACGTGATAAATGCTCTAACATGCAGTTCATCCAAAGCTATTCACATACCTTATCGTGATTCTAAGCTGACCAGGCTTCTTCAGGATGCTCTAGTTAGTTCCGTGCCACTCAAGATTAACAATCCGTTGTTCTTCCAAGGGATCAGAGATTGACCAGCTGCTTGTTCTTCTGCTGCCAGGGAGGCAACTCCAGGACTGCTTTAATCTGTTGCTGTTCGCCGAGTACCTCAAATTCTTCAGAAACATTTTCCACTCTTCGTTTCGGTATCAGGTGCTCATCCTGTATTCTTTAGTCTATTCCATGGCTGATTTCGTGAAGAGGAAAATCCATGTCATCATAATTAGATTCTTGCTATTGCATATTTGTACTCACTTAATGACCAATCATACTGATTGGTATCTTCTTGTAGGGCAAAGCATATAAAGACATCGCCTACTGCTAAACGGATAATTGATGAGGAAACTGAAGCCAGATGGCATCCAGCCGATGTTCCAACAAAAGAGGAGTCTGGTGAGAGAATTATAGCTCAGGTCAGAACCAAGTTACAGCGATATATTCCTCCGAAGCACATTCTTTTTTTTTTTCTCTTTCCAAAGTAATGAACATTTCTGCAGATGAAGTTATTACCAACTGTCAAACATATTGACGAAGACAAAGAAGCGAAAATGCATGCAGCAGATGCCCCAAAGAAAGATGATTGTTATGAGAGAATTCTAGCCAAGGTCCGGTTTCAAGGTCTAAAGATGTCCCTCAGCATCATATGCCCTTTCATTTCCTCACCATTTTTTCAGAATTATAATGCAGTTGAGGGAGAGATTGGATGACGAGGAGGTCAACTTGCTCGAGGAATTACTCGTACTGGAGGAAATGCTGTTTGATCCCAGTACAGCAGAAGGCTTAGAATTGGACTTCGAAGATATGACTTCACGTACAATCAACTTGCTGCAACAGAATCTGCAAGAGCTTATGATTACTTGTGAAGAGGTAAGCAAATTTCAGTTGAGAATCGCACCGAGTGCAGAGTTCCTCTTTATTTCATCTTAGCATCTCCCACAGCGCTCTTCCCTGAGAAGTATAGTGATGTATGCGCGTGTATCTGCAGCTTAAGAGTGAGAACAAAGCTCTCAAGGCCAGAATTGCAGCTGGTGGAACTATGGAAGGTGGTCGGGAAGAGAATGGAAGTTTCTTCATGCAGAAAGTTTCTGGCATTATCAGCTTCTTCTTTCCGTGGGTTTGGGGTCGGGCCCAGTAGTCAAATTTCTTGAGTAGAAGGCCTTTTTTAGTATGAAGTCAGTTTCTATCTCACAATCAGTTGGAGCTTTTTCAGTTTGTTTGTTAAACATGACCTTTATTACACGTGAACGTGAGAATTGTATCAACGCTATCATTTATAGCTAAAAAATAAAATTGCACCCCCATTCAAATTTTTCTGCCCGTAGAGTGATTTTAGAAAGCTGATGTGGCAAGGTGTTAAGGCGGGAATAAAATAGAAATCGCCGCCTCATTGTAGAGATAAGAAACCGTCCACTACCCATTATTGTTTTTAGTTCTCGTTTGGCTGAAATCCCCCTACCTTTCCTCCTGGGTTTCCTACGTTATCCTTTCGCCTACCCGCAGGACAGGAGGAGAATCAGTTTGCATCGGAAAAATTTGGTAAGAGGGCCTCACGGTTTCGTGTTCAGCGGAGGATGGCGCTGACGGCCCGCTGTTGCCGAGTTCACCTGGTCGAGATTCCGCACTATAGAACGAGCGGGGGAACACCTGATTGTGCAAGGAATACATGGGAAGAGGGCCTGACGTTTTGCTGGTCAGAGGCAGAAAGCAGTGACGGCCCGCTGCTATCGAGTTCACCGGCCCGAGAATCCGCACCTTAAAACGAGCGGTGAACACCTGATTGAGCGAGAATACGTGCGGCTAATTGACGGTGAAGCCTTCTCCAACCAACCGGTAATCGAAGGTGAGTCATGTGATTTTGGTTTTTGTGTACTCCCGCTGATTCGAACAACCAATCGGATTTGGTAATTATGCGGCGAACCCTTCTCCAGCCAACCGCCATTTCCAAGGGGAGGCATTAATTTTCCTGTTTGTTTGTTCTCACTCTTTCTCGCAATCGAATTAGGTAGTTTTGCACTTGACTTTCAGGAAAGATCTACTTTTCACAAAGGATTTGGTAGTCTGAATGACGTCGAAGCAACTGTTTCGTTCGTTGTTTATGATCTAGAAGAACCAGCAACCATTACCTACACCTGTTTAATAGACCGACAACGTTCATCTCCCTATTATAATCAATTGAAATTTTCGTAATTCCTTTAGGTGGAATTTTGAGTTCAAGGCTTGTGCTTAATAGAAAGACAGCGTTCATCTCCCTATTTGCTTAACACTTTCAGCCTTTTGGAATGGTTTACTTTGCTAAGATTCCAGCAACTACAATGTAAAATGATTAGTGATTCATAGTGAGTTGACAAGCCTCAGACTGGTGCAATTGCACTTGGTATAGGTAATGTTATTTCTCCGGCCACAACATGTTTTTCTACGCGTAATTCAGTGAGATCTATATGTTTGGTCTGTCTTATAGACCCCAGGTGGTCTTATAGACATAATTATGGTTCGTTCGGCGTTTACAATCTTCTTCTTATCGCCGCATAATTACAAGGTAGCCTCAAGTTCTGTTGAGTATTTATGTGTTTATGTTATGGGAAAATCATGAGTTCGCATGGACCAATCGAATGCGTTTTATTTCATTATATGTTACCAAACACCAGGAGTGTAAGCTAATGTTAGAATTACTGAAAGCTCGCTTCATTAGTATAACACCCTACCCTATATGTTTTGCCTAATCATATTGTTCATACAATTGCAGCGGAATTAATCTCGGGTGTTACATTAATTATCAAAATTTACCCAAATAAAATTTCGACATGAATTACTCGCTTAATGGGCTAACAGTTCTTGCAACTTATCCTGCAAAATAATTCATCACAAACATATATACTCACAACCATATGCATTGGCTTTTCTTAGCCATAGTCACACTTTTCATACTCCAAAACTGCATACCATACTTATACATACCATAATCGTCACAACTTACACAGTTACACAACATATACACATATCATCAACTTTCCACACCCGTGGATATCTAATACTACATCGGAAGCTAGTATGCACATGAAAAACGTTCTCAAAACAGTTTTTTACAAAAAGGTGTGGATCACTGGCCAAAATCCCAAGTAGTGGTCCAAGCACAGAATAGTTGAAGACCATACCTCATCTTGGCTTCAACTCTAGCTCCTCTCCCACCTAACACTTATCTACTGTTGTTGCTGATGATCTGCTTACACATAGCATAAGCAGAGAAGAAGAATAAAAGAGGGTCAGCTCATTGCTGAGTGAGACAATCATTGCATTGTGAGTTCATAACAGAGCATACCCCAACCATACATCTAGAAAACAAGCCAAAGCACTAGGATCAGACCTCAGCCATTCGACATCCCAATAGGCAAAAGATTCAACCATCTTGACTTATGCATATGCATCGTATCATGTTTTAATCATAGGCGCCTGGCTACTCCCATGCTAATAACTCTCCTGGTAAACATACCCCACATCCCGTCGGATGTAGTCATACATACCCTAACATCCCGTCGAATGTGGTCATACATACCCCACACCACTATGGGTGTAGTCATACCCCGACACCGCTCTGGGTGTGGTCATATCTCGTAAGAAATCTTCAGTCACCACCACATGAGAAGTGTGACTATCATACATATCATAATAGAGTAATAGCATAGGGAGCCCTAATTACTATGTAGTTGACCATGAGACCAAAGAACTCTTACTTGATATCCTTATACATGATCCATATCTCATCTTGCTTAATAATAATTCGTTACTTGCACATGAACTTGACATGACCATAATTGGCTCAACATAGGTAAACCAGGAGTCGTATAGTTTCACTTCCTCGGGATAAACCCTCGTGCAAGTCATCCTCCTTAAAACATCATAATATCACCCTGGGAAGTTTATTTCCCTCGCTTATGAATCCAAATACAACCACAATATCACGTCATGTCAAAACACCTGATCGAACTGCCATGAAGTCATATCAACAGTTAAGCCACAAATGGCAACATGTATGCAATCATCAGAATAAACAAGGTCCATATCGATTACGGCAAGTCAATAATATCATACAGTAGTCCAGGGTTCAACATATAGCACAAAAGTTCATACACCCCTTATCATGTCATTCTAGTTCACCTAGGTCAATTCTAAGCATCAATATAATTATCGTGATTCGACAAACGTGGTATACCGTGCTAATCCTTCACCAGTTCTGGTCGTTCAAACACCGGTTCTAGCCTCCTGTACCCCAACTTCACTTTCTCAAACAAACCCGGAATCAAAATTCGAGATTGTTCTAATATCCCCTACAGTATCCCCGTCAATGTTAGTTCTAGGCTCCGGATCAAATTCTCGATAAAAACACATCAAAACCTGGCCGGAGCTAAATTCAGCGGTTTGGACCGTGACCTAAATAATTGCCGAAATTTAGGGATTAGAACTAGAGGATTGATTACCTCACTGCAGGAAGCTCTTATATGAAATTTGCGCCTAATCCGGCTTCCGCAACCTCTGAAACCCTAATTACTTCGATCGGAAACTCAAGAAATTCATGATCCAAAAACTCGTTTTAAAGCTCTAAATTGATAAATCACGATGTATAGATGGATTAGGCGTTACTTACAGAATTTTTGGATCACTAGGGCTCAATATTGGAGCTTTGGAATTTTGCACAAATGCTTCCCTGTGCGCGCTTTGCTTCTTTGTTGCTCTGGGTCCGAAATTGGAAAAAGAAAGAACATAATGGGAAATAATGGTGGGGAGGGGGATTATATATATAAGTGCTTTGTGACCGACTTATATAAAGTATATATATAATATATTATATATATATATAATACGTGTACTTATTCGATCGATCGATAATCCAATTTTCGTAGAAATATTATCAAAACTCTCGTTTTTTAATTGTGAAATTTTCTAACTACCGTAATACGAGTTTTGCCGAAACGGGATGTTACAATTCTCCCCTCCTTAAAAGATTTAGTCCCCGAAATCTAACCTTGAGTTGTACCCTAAGTCCGCTTACTTACCCTTGACATGGTCTATCGCAGATAAACCATTACCTAACTCTTAGGTTAGGCGATTCATAACATAGAAAGTAACACATAACACCTCAAGTTCCCATGTTTAGGTTTCAAAAACCTATACTGGGCTATCACAACAAAAGCACATCAACAAGTTCAAAACATAACTTACTAAGCAAGATTGTTAACCTTTAAAGTAGGTCGCTACCAACTCAGGGTACTTCTCTCGCATACTTGCTTCAGTCTCCCAGGTAGCACTCTCACTATCTTGATTCCTCCACACAACCTTCAACATTGGAATTTCCTTTCTACGAAGAGTCTTAATATGAAAATCAACAATCTCAACTGGAACCTCTTCAAATGTCAATGCCAATTTATAAGCCACTGGTCCAATCTTCTCTGTGATTTCATATGGTCCAATATATCGAGGTGCAAGCTTTCTTTTCTTACCAAATCTCATCACCCCTTTCCATGGTGACACTTTGAGAAATACTTTCTCACCCCCCTTCGAAATTAACTTCACGCCTACTCGTGTCAATATAAAATTTCTGTCGGTCTTGAGCCACCCTCAAACGCTCCCTGATTTCCTTGACCTTATCAACTGTGATCTGAACTATCTCTGGCCCTGAGATTTGCCTTACTCCTTCTACATCCCAACATAATGGTGTCCTGCATTTCCTCCCATAAAGTGATTCATATGGTTGAACACCCAAACTACTATGGTATTGATTGTTGTAAGCAAACTCAATCAGGGGCAAATGGTCAATCCATGATTCCTCTCATTGCATTACATATGATCGAAGTAATTCCTCCAAAATTAGGATGGTTCGTTCACTCTGTCCATCTGTTTGAGGATGATAAGCTGAAGTAAAATGTAATTTAGTTCCCAAGATATCATGTAAACTTTGCCAAAACCGAGATGTGAAGCTCGGGTCTCGATCAGAAACAATAGAAATTGGCACACCATGCAATCTGACGATCTCCTTAATATATAGTTGAGACAAAGTCTCCTGTGATGGTTTCCACCTAATGGGTAAAAAGTGAGCCGATTTGGTTAGTCGGTCCATAATGACCCATACTGCATCTTTTCCCCTTGATGATGGGAGACCACATACAAAATCCATTGTGATTCTTTCCCACTTCCATTCTGGAATTGGAAGTGGTTGCAGTTTCCGTACAGGAGCTTGATGTTCTGCCTTAACTCTCTAACATACCAGACATGTGAAAACATGTTCAGCCGCTTCCTTTTTCATCCCATGCC